TGCTTCAAATTTAGTTGTCACAAATGGCTCAAATTTGTATTCACTGATCGATCGATCAGACAACCATCCAGACGACCGGGTAAACCACTTGTCTACTGCGGTTGTCACCTTGTTGACTGCGGCTGTCAGTCTTTTTGACAAACGACTGGGTGAACAATCGGCCGCATAACCGGGCGAATGACCGACGAGATAAAATTCAAACCATTCGAACCAAGCTCAAATTTGTGGTACACAACATTGCTCAAAAATATATTTATATTAGAGGCGAAAAAGTAAAGGCCAATGAGAAAGCATCAAGTAGTTGGGGTTGGGCTTTTTCAATGGCTCTATTTGGTTCAATTTAAAAATCAGTTTTTAAATTTTTTTTTAGGGCAAATTACCTACACCTCCCTTGAGGTTTAACGAAATTACAGATTTTCCCCTGAGGTTTTTTAAAATTACATCCCGCCCCATTACAATGAATGCTGTTAACGGATATCATAAATTGACTAAAATGTCTTTTTGACAAATAAAGGCAAATTACCTACAGTTCTTTGAGGTTTAGCTAAATTACAGATTTTTCCTTGAGATTTAGCTAAATTACAGGTTCTCCCATGAGATTTAGCTAAATTATCATTTTTTAAAAAATCAAAATTTAGGGACAATTATTTTTAGGAGACCAAATATTTTTATTGAGAAAAGTGTCGTTATTATGTTTTAGCAATGAAAATTGAATGTTAGTGTAATGTCCCGAAATAATCAACATAAACTAACCACATCAAGAATATTTACTGAAATGTGACAAAGATCCATCCATCCTTACATGTTTAATGAAACGAGCTTATACAAAAGTTTCACATGCGAATATACATTCAATGAATGGAAAGCTCCTAAATCTATAGCATGTAAAGCATCTAGTCTCAAATAATTAAAATGCCCTTAAGGGCTTACATCTTTCAAGGCAATAGCCCGGTTACACAAAATGGCCTCTCGGACCCAAACACGTTTAGCCCTTGGCTTACAAAAAATTAACAACAAAAATAAGAGAGCAATATATTGTTCACAGAATCAACCTGCGCCCTCAACTCGACGGGATCACCACATCTTTACCTGCACCAAAGTCCCATAGGGGTGAGCATAAAGCCCAATAGAGAATTCTTACAAAGTATATATAGTTATGCAAAACTTCTCAATAAAAATGTAAATGTCAATGCCATGCCATACTGTTCTAAAGAAATTTCATTTCATGCTCATCTTAAAGATTACCATTTTTCAATAAAAGTATGCAATCTCAACACATTTCCAAAACTTTCAATTTCGATCAATAGGGGCTGTAAATACGACACTGGTAATCCCTAGTGTGATAACCCTGTTCCGTTTTATGTTAATTGATCCTTATTATAAATGTGATTATGTGATTGATATGATTTTGTGTGCCATTATGTGAAAAATATGTGATTTTGAATTTCTATCTGTTCACCGTAGGAATATCTGTTTGATTATCTGCTTTGGAAATTAAATTGAAGGCCTTATCGGCTAAGAAACCCAAAATTGATTACACCATTGTGATTGGCATAATTTTTAGAGCCTACGGTGAAATTTAATTGAAAATTGATTCAGATCAGATTAAATTGATTTAATTAATCAATTAAGTGCCCAATTATTTAATATTTATAATTTTGATTAGTGGGGCTATATATAAAGGGCCATATACACTCTCATTTGTTTCTTTTGAGCTCAAAATTTGAGTTATACATTTGTGAGGGTGAGGAGGCCGGCTACAGAGAGAGAGAGGGGGGAGAATTGTGCAATTTTGCTCAAGAAGCTTGGTGATCTTGAAGGCACACTCAAGAATTTACCATAAATTGTGAGAATTAAGGCTCCTAGGTGAGTAATCAACCATTGACTCATGGATTTTAATTTGTAAATTGTGTATTCAAGCTAGTTGGGTAATCAAAGGTGAGAATTGGAATGAAATTGAGTTGGTCATGTTGAATTAAAGGTCAATGTATGCATGCATGTAGGAAATTGCTATGAATTTCCATGTTTGGGCATAAAGTATGTAATCCATATTGATTTTTGATTGAGGTCCATGTATTTGATCATCTCTTCACCAATTAAGTTGAGGATAATGAGTATCTCCCACATGCATGAGCAAATCATGAAAGTGTGAGCTTTGAATGTTTGAAATTAGTGTGTTGGTGATGAGTTTGAGTCATTTTGGAACATGCATGTGAGTAATTCATGGAATTGAGCTTCATAATGTTGTAAATTAGTGTTTGTATCATGTTAGTACATGTATATGTGAAGTTTGAGCTGAAATTATGTGTTTAGAGCCTTTGAATACCAAGTTGAAGCTCAAGAACATGTTCTGGATTTTCCAGAAAATTTGATGTCCGCTCGAGTGAGGGAACTACCGCTTGAGCGTGGAATTCGTGCTCCTAGTATACTTTGCAGACAAGGTGTCCACTCGAGCGGGGAAGTTCACGCTCGAGAGGGGAGCCATGTAGACAGACCTTCAGTTCGAGCACCCGACTTCATGCTCGAGCGTAAATTTGATGTAACCAGCACTTTTGCAGACCTCATGGGTCCGCTCGAGCGGGGAAGTCCACGCTCGAGCAGGGACCCTATTTCTGAAAATTTTAGAAAGGCATTCTGTGTTTCATTTTTTGTTCTCTTTCACTTCTAAATACTCTTAGGCATACATTGAGCATTGTAATTGAGTTAAAGGGATAAGAATAAAGCCTAAAGAGGAATATGTGAATTAAAGGACGGATTGAATCATTTGTGACCCGTATGTGTTATGTGATGTGTAGGGTCAAGCTTCAGGGAAAACCAACCAACCGATCACTGTGAGTAATATCTTGACAAAGCTATCTGAAATATGTTGTTGTCCAATTGCTTACTTCTATGTAAGTTTTATAAGTTCATTAATTCGATTGGTGGACAATGTTTGCTATGCCAAATGAATAGGCCAAAGGCTAGTTTTACATGAATGAATGAATGGGCCAAAGGCCAGTTTGACATGAATGAATGAATGAATGGGCCAAAGGCCAGTTTGACATGATGGAATGAATGGGCCAGAGGCCAGTATGATCTGAATGATAGAATGAATTGGGCCAAAGGCCAATTTGACATGAATGAAAGAATGGTTGGGCCAAAGGCCAGTTTGGTATGAATGAAAGACAAATGGGCCAAGGGCCAGTTTAACACGAGTAGATTGGGCCCGAGGCCATCCGATGTGATTGGAATTGCAGTCAATTGATATACGTATGTATTAGATAGAAATATGAATTGGGCCTAAGGTCGTCCGATGTATGTTGTTCCAATGTATCTCCTTTAATTGATATTATTCACTAGGCTTTCGCTCACGCTCATTCATGTGTTCGTAGGTGAGCCAAGAGAGATCCAGACCCAGCCTCAGTGAAGTCTGTGTGGAACAACCAAGGTTTTGAAGTGTCAGCCCTTGCGTCTCACGCACGAGACTCGTCTTCGCCCTTTTGTCATGTATTTATATTTTGTCATGTTGGCGAAGACTTTGAATCTGTTGTATATAGTTTTCATGGGTTGACTTAGACTTAAATAATCATGTCTGTACAGAACCTTATGCTACTATATTCTCTGAAGTGAGTTATTAACGTGTATGTGTATGGTTTGTTATGACATGCCATGTAAGCACAGCTCTATAGACAAAGTTTTGAATTTTGCTTCCGTTTGGCCCTTTACTCTGACGAGTTATGTCCGATTTGGTTTGAGGCCATAGGTAATCTCATGATTATTGGCCGGTCATGACCTTAACCCATAGGGGCGGGTTAGGTGGACGTGACACCTAGGTTGGTGTCTGCAACTAGACCATACAAGTACTACCAAATTGTCATTTTTACCAGTATTAACCGGAAGGCTCGACACCTATCCGCGCGGGTTTCTGGTTTTTCACCATGGACACTCAGGCCAACTTATCGAATTCATCTACATCTCCTAACTGGACTTACCAACATATTTACCCCAAAACATATTTTCATAGTTCTCATTTCAACATAAATCTTTCTCAAAGTAAACGTTTTTCGAACTCATTTCAAGATATGCAATAATGATAGTAAATCAAATGAGATTTTGATACAATACGTAATATTTCATAACATTTCTCCATTTCAAACATCTCTACAACAATATCAAATGATCTCATTTCTCATCTCTTCTTTTCAATGTAATTTCACAATTAACTATATACCATCAATTCATAGCAACAATAATCTCTCACCATGCACAATTCATAACAAGTTAGCCCTTTTCAAGACTACATGTGATGTTTTCAACATTAATTACCAAGATTTTACAATTCTCACATTTCAAGGTATACAACCATTCCCCACTTCCCAACAATATATGTTCAAGTATTTAACAAATATGTTGCACTACATCTCCTTTCTCATACATCAAATAGATTGCTATTTTGCTAAACATGTAATGAAATCTACTTTCATCCATCCTCTTGACACAAGACAATAAAGAATTTCATAGACATTATCTTATTTTCCAAAATCCCCAAATTTATAGGGTTTTACACCAAAATCAAACATTTCTCATTTTCCTTGGTGAAATCTCGCCAAAATCACCTTTTTAGAGTTTTATAAAAGATCATCCTCATGGATTAAAAAGGGGTTGAGATTTAAACCCATTTCTTCAAAACTCTCTCTACATAAAGAGCAAAATCAAAATCAACATCACAAATTTCAAGAAAACTTTTAAATCAACAACATTATAGCAAAACTTGTATATATAACTCAAGAAATCCCTACCTCAAGGTTTGATGAAGAAATAGAATGAAACTCTAGCTTTGATGGAAGACTCTTCAACCTCTACCACACCAAGAGGAGCCCTAGCTTGATCTTCAATGCTAGAAAAGGATGATGATGGATTTTGACCCAAAGGATCACAAGAAATCAAGGGTTTTTGTAACGCCCCAAATTTCATACCCAAATGATAATATAACAATCATGGCTCTTTCAAAGAAAACCGAATATAAATCTCCAAATTTACATTACATGATACAATAGTTCTTCATGCAACGATACATTAATCCAACAACAAGTAAATAAACAAATAAATACCCCATACAGTTTACAAATTTCCAAGGTTTAAGCCCGGTTACACAAAACAGTTATTCAAATCCACACAAATACAACCCTTGGCTTACAAAACAGAGTCACGCAAAATGAGAGCATTGTACTCCCAACATACATATTTCCACACTCCTAGTTGGGTGGAATCACCACATTTTTTCCTGCACAAAAATCCCGTAGGGTGAGCATAAAACCCAGTAGAAAATTCTTAACAAAGTATATACATTTTATACAAGTCTCAAGAGATGAAATGCACATGCCATGCTATGCCCTTTCTGAAGATAAATTACATTTTCATCTTTTGAAAAACCATCATGCTCAATGATGTCATACAATTTCAATTGTTCAAAACTTAACAATTTATTTCAAGGGCGGTAAATACGTCTCTGGTAATCCCTAGGCTGATGTCTGCAAGTAGACTACACGAGTACTACCAAATTGTCATTTTTACCGGTATTAACCGGAAGGCTCGACACCTATCCACGCCGATTTTTCGGTCTTTCACCCTGAACCCACAAGCCAATTTGTTCAATATCATCTACACCACCTATCAAGGCTTACCAACATATTTACCCCAAAATCATTTCATGAAAACTTATTTCTCAACATTCTTTTCTCAATGCAAGTTTTCAAATCAACCTTCAAAGTCTAATGTAATAAAATGAAATGATATGCCAATTTCACAAGATGAACACAAATGCTTTTATTCCAATTCATCATCCAAGAAATAAACACAATTTCCTTTTCTCAAGTATTCTCAACAATTTAGTCATTTCAAGACTATATCAACATTTTGAATAATCATTTCTAAAATGAACAACAATTCTCATAATCCACAAAATTAATCATTTATACAAATATAAATAGGAAATTTTCTAAACGTAATGTTTTGGCACACAAAAATAAATATAACAATATTACCCATGGATTTTCAATCTCTTTTAAAATCCCCAATTTTTTTAGGTTTTCTCACCAAAACCAACCATTTTCAAATATTTGAGAAGATCTCACCAAAAACATCTTTCTTTTACCAACATAGTTCAAAACTCTCAATTTTTATTTTAAAAGAAAAAAGAAAGTAAACCCACTTTCAAAATCACTCATCTTCTTGAATCAACAAAATCCATTTTTTAAAAAGAAAGAACAAATCAAAGGATTATTTCAAAAATCATCTATATCTTGCCAAAATATATATAACTCAAAGAAAATCCCTACCTCAAGTTTGAAGAAGAAATGAGCAAAAATCCAAATTTTCGATTTTGTCAGATTTTGATCTCCACCGATCAAAATGTTACTCTCACCATGCTCTTCACTTTGGCCTCAAGAATTAGGGTCTAAAACCGACTGCTTCAATTAAATTCTGCTCTCTGCATTCTTTGGTGGATTTTGTACAAATTTACCAAAACGACTGGAATTGTTGTTTTTCACAGTTTTGGCATTCCCAAATGCTTCCAAGCCTGGTTTTGAATCCAAAACTTGTTGTTCAACTGTTTGTGGAGGGGTAGCTTCGTTGGGGAGTCTCCAAGGATGAGAGAGAGACCTGCATGTGTATGTTTTGTATGTCTCTTTTTTTATTTTTTATTCTTCAAACTTCAAAACCCGAGAGAGAGACCAAGAGAGACCACTTATGTCTTCAACAAACTCCGTAATCGCCTTCACCGATCACATTTTCTATGGCAATTCTACGTGTCGCCTTCTCTAGCTCGTTCAAGTTGTACCACCAGTACCACCACAGGCTAGCGATACAAAGCCTGAACTGTTCGTCATGCGCGTTCTTCGCCGTTTCGAGATTCGATTCGAACAACGCAGACACAGACAAATCAAAAGAAAGACTGCTGCAATTAGGAACGTATATAATATTGTGATCAAGAGGTAGAGTTTTAGTCTGAGAAATGGCATTCTAGCGGTGAGAGAACTGTTAGGGCTTTGGTTTCCATCGGAGGTAGCCATTGTTTCCGGTGACGAGAGAGAGTGATTGCTTCCTCCCTCTTTATATCTTTTCACTGTCTTGTGTCTTCTCGGCTCTGCTACAAATCAACCGCGACCACAACATAACTCTCTCAGTTTCTCTTTCCACTTCCCAAAACCCTCTCTCTAAAAAGTATCTCTGTCTTTAATAAATCATTCTCCACCATCTTGTTTTTCTGACCATGCATCCTCCCTCCTATCATTCTCTCTTTGTTTTATAGTCCACCGAAAGAGTAAAATAGACAGCCCATGTGTATGCTTTTGTTCCCTCCCCTCATGCATACTACTTCTCTCTCTATGTTATCTCTAAATAAAATAATATCCCACTTACCACCCCACTAAAAACATCATCATACTATAATATATCCCACCCATGATCCATCATCATATATTCTATTTTCCACCAAACCCATCTGACTATTTTTTCATTTAGCAAAAAAAATGGGTGAGGTTTGGGATCAAGGCTTCAATCTCATTTTCCTGTTGAGAAATTCATAAGATTGCATATTCCAATTTTCATCATGGGTTGGTCAAAAGAAAGTGTCCAAATTTTAAGGTCGGTCAAATTGGGGTGTCTACAACTAGCTATTTTAAAAATAAAAATAAAAATTGGGTCATTACAGTTTTGGAAGTTGGTTAGAAGTTTTTAGAGAGAATGAGGAGGAAAAATGTTTTTAGAGAGAGAGAGGTGTTAATAACAAAGAGATACATTCTGCCCTAAAATATAAAAAATAAAAAATAAATAGGGTTTTCGGATCTGCCAGTGCCCCGCACGTGCGGCCCTTGCCCCCGCACGTGCGGCCCTTGCCCTCGCACGTGCGGCCTTCATCCCTCCACGTGCAGCCACTTCTCCCCTGCAGCCACTTCTCCCCTGCACTTGCCTCCGCTCGTGCATATTAGATAGAATGCACCCCAAACCTTCCCTGCATTCCACACGTGCGGCGTCACTCCCCGCACGTGCGGCCTCCCTCCCGCACGTGTGGCCCCTGGTTTCCAGCCCAGAATTTTTTGACTCGATTCCTAGGCGCTCCAAACCTGACCTCACACTCCCCGGCAATAAAGGAACTTCAACACCAAATATGACAAGAACAAGTACTTTATTTGGGAATAACTTCTGAACGTTTCAAACCCAATGAGAGTGAGAAGAGAACGGAGTGAAGAAGAAAGAAAAAGAAAGAAAACAAGACCCGGTTGTCACAATTAGTGATTAATTATTATTTTTTTGGTATCAATTTTTTTTTTGTCTCAAAAAATAAACTATTTTGAGACCAAATTATTTTGTCCCTAAAAGTCTATTTATTATTGACATTTTCAAAATTTTATCTCTAAAAGCCTCATTTTTTTTACTTTTGAGGACAACATTTTAGCGACTATTCTCACGACGATAGAAATTGGCCCCTAAATGTCTTTTGCAACAAAATTTTCACTTTTAGAGATCAAAAAAATTGGTCTCTAAAACTCTTCTATATTGTAGTGTCAAATGGTGAAAATATCATAAAATTAATAAAGAATTAAATATGGTCTCTAAAATTCGTCTTTAAGAAATCACATCCCATATCCAGTTTTCACCGTGATTAGCTGAAGATTATTAATAAAAGATTACAGAGGGAATATATGTTGTACTGCTTCAGTGAAAGGGAGGAGAGGAAGCAACAAATTTTGGTTAAAAAAATCTAACCTGAACAGGATTCAAGAGCATGTTCAATGTTGCTTGAGTGAACCTCCTCGCTGAGCCCAACTATTCTTGTTAATGAAAACTAACAAGGGTCTTGCATCTGGTGGCAAATCAATCAACTCATACCTCTGTTTCAAATCCACAGTCATCCTTTTGATCAATTGATGAACTTCTTTTAAAACTATGTTTAGAATCCAATTTTTTAACAGTATCACCTTTGTGTTGCTCATCCACATCCACACAACGTTGCCGTCGTAGGCGGCTTAGCCATCGAATCCCATGCCCTACGCCCTGCGTCGTCGTCTTCAGCGATGTCTTCAGCAGGGATATCAAAGGTGCTGGAGTTTCTAATGAACTGGTCATGCCGAGAGAGTTTAGAGTGAGAAAGAGAGAGAGAAAAAGATGACGTTTGATTTCAGTCAAATTTCTCTGTGATATATGGGGTGTGGGAGTTGAGGGACCTTTAACATCATAAAATAATATTGTGGATCTCTTCCATTACTATAAATGGGAGAGGGTCCTTAGACTAATTTTTCCTTAATAAAATTACATGTTTAAATTGGTTCATGCAAGAGTTTAAGTTTTGAAAATGTGTTTGGAAATTATTTTGTTAGCTTTGAAAGCACAGAAAATTTGTTGGCCGCTTGAGCATTAAAGTCACCGCTCGAGCGACCAAAGGTGCGCTCAAGCGGAGACCCTATTTTCAACAATTTTTGACTAACTCTTTTAAGTCCCTATTTGCATCCTCATGACATTCTAAATATTTTTAGGCACCAATTGGACTCATATAGTCGTGGAATAAGGTAGAAACATAAAGAGAGTTGAACTAAAATGAAATGAGTATTAATGGTGCTTCTATTGTGTCTTTGTTGTGTGATTTGTGTAGATGGACGTCCGAGACCTTATATCGACTTAACCCACTGTGAGTAATAACTTTATAAAGATATATTCAAATTATATTTATTTTCGAAATGATTACTGTTTTCGAAAGTGTTATGTGATTGATTGAATGGTTTATTGAAAAGCTATTTTGTAATGATGAGTGGAGTTCACTTTTGAAATATATTCGCGGCATCCATTAGTGAGCCCCTTGCCTCGGGGAAATAATACCATGGCCCATAGACCTTTGCCTGGGGGAGATTAATATCATGGCCCATTGACCCTTACCTGGGGGAGATTAATGCCATGGCCCATTGGCCTTCGCCCGGGGAAAACAATACCGTGGCCCATTGGATAATTAGATATGATATATTGATTGACCCGTTGTGGTCCCATTGATTGACCCTTGAGATTCCATTGTTATTGATACATTGTTACTCTATTGGATGTACCACGTAAATTGTCATTGAATGAGTATTGCTATTGAGATAACATGGATCATTGAGAATCAAATTCAAATCGGAATTGTATTGAAAATGCTATCGAACAATGGTTTTATTATTACAAGGGATTGATATAATAGCTAATTGAATTGATTTGCCTATTGGAATGGATTGTTTCGGGAAATGAAATATATGTTTTGATAAGGGATTTGATATGGAAAATGTTTTGTTATAAATTTGATATAATATGGCCAATGTCTCACTTTGAAAATGATTTAAGATTCATTTCAAATTTGTAAGACATGTTTTTGTACTATCGTCGAACCCCATTCATTTAACCTCTTTATTCTGTTACTACTCGCTGGGCTTTAGCTCACTATTTATATGTATATGTAGGTGAGCAAACTAAGTAACAAGGATAGAGAAAGACTTGGAGTCCACCCGTGTCAACCTTTTGTAAAGCCAAGAAAATCAGCCCTTAGCTTTGTCAAAGCTTTGAATTTTGCCCAGTCTTAAATGTATATGTGTGTGAGATATATAAGATTTGTATATAAATTATTATTGTGTTTAAATGTTTTAATTATTTTAGTTATCATGTATGCACAAGCTCAATGGACATTGTTATTTTTTTTTTTGCCTTCCGTTTTAAGCCCCGATATAAGTTAAATATTTTGAAATTTTATCTTTGAGGCCGAAGGTAATCTAGGATTACTGGCCGGTTACGACGCTAAACCTATAGGGGCGGGTTTGGATCGTGACAGCCGACCACTGGTGTAAAGCCCAGATATTTTTGTCAGCTGTCCTCCAAATGCTCCAGCTGTCCCTATATAGATATTTTCGACTGAGGGACTATTTTTCTATATATAGAGGACCTCTCTTCTTGCTTTCAAGGTTAGAAACATTTAGGAGTGAGGAAATAATTTTGAAAAATTCCTCTCTCTCTACAATTCTCTCTCTCTCCCTTTTTACTTGCATAGCCTTTGCCTAAACACTCTAAACCAAACCTAGAGAGCTTCTTGCTGAGGTGATTTGAGCTTGAATTTGAACTATTGAAACATTTGAGAGTGTGAAATTAGTGGTTTATAACTCAAAGAAGCATTCCTCTTCAAGAGGTATACCTCCTCTTGCTTTTGTACCATCTCTACACCACTTGTTTGCCATCTTTTCTTGCTGTTGTTAAGCTCTTTAAAACCTGTATTTTTTGGCTGAAACTTGTGGTTTAAGGCCATTAAAGGTAGAGGGGTTGATAACCCTTCTTTATACCTTGCTTCTAAGGCCTTTGCCCTTGTGTTTTCCACTTTGTTGTCAACTCTTTTTGAGCTTTTTAATACTGAATTTCAAAGTTATTTTAGTAGCTAAAATCATGTTTTGATATCTAAAAATGGAGAGGGTAGCCTCCCCTCCTTATGGTTTGTTTACTAGCTTAGCATGCTCCATGTTTTAGCTTATTTATCTAGCTATTTTTGTCTTAATTCCAGCACGTTTTAGGACTATTTTAGACCTTTTTTAGGATTGTTCTTAGCTGTTTGTTGCATTTGAGATTTGTATTACATGCTTGTAGTGTAATTATCCTCATAGGTTTGGTGGTTTAGGCCTTAGCCACCATCCTATTTGAGTTGATAGCATTTATTTCATGTTTTCCTTACTTGTGAACACCCTTAGTCACCTCTGCAGCCTCCATCTTTTCTTGGCTTTTGTTTTTCTTTGAAAGTGGTTTCAAACTACTTGTTTGTTTAAGCATAAGATTGAGATGTCATACTAAATGGTTTAACCCCTTTGGGGGTTCATTACCAACGGTGTGATGTCTCTTTCATGCCTGAAGCAACTCTTGGTTTGAGCCTTCTTTCCATTAGAGGACCTTAAACTCACCATTTGACTCAAAGAATTAAAGGATGGTTATTTAAAATGAAGTAATTAAAATGGGACTAAAATGGTGCAAGAT